TTTGTGGGGGGGGGGGGAGGGAGGGAGGGTGAATTAGGTTCCTAATTTCTAAGCTTCTCTTTGAAGACCAATTTCACTATTTGTAAAAAATGTTTCCTAGAATGATGAGTGAAGCTTTCAAATGATGTGCAATGCATCATGATTGATGATTTGTAACAATATATTAAACAGAATAGAGAGAAGAGATGCAAACACTATTTATAGAGATTCAACTCAACTACTTTGGCCTACGTCCTCTCCTCAACCTCCTCCTTGGAGCCTCTTTTCAATGGGTGAAGAGTCAAAATCCTTTGCAAGCCTCCTCTTCTTGATACAAGATATAACTCCCAAAATCCTTTACAAGCCTCCTCTTCTTGATGCAAGATATAACTCCCACTTTAGCTCACTTCAAGAAGAATAATACAATCTCTTTTTCAAAGTTTCTCTCTCGATATAATAATCTAACAAAGAACAATCAAGAGAGGCAAAAAGAATAAAGATGTTCAAGGAATCTTCTTTTAAAAATCAAAACAACTTATCAAAAAGTTCTCCTCTAGCTCTTCTTACTCCTATTTATACCTTAGACCCCTTAAACGAAATCTTGCAATATTTAATTTGACAAGACTAAAAGAGATATCACTTTTGATGATGAAACTTCAAGAGTTGTTAGCAGTCCAATGGTCGTGTTCGGTCAACCGGTGGCAGGTACTAGTCGACTAGAGAATCCTTCGTGTCCAAATGACCCTTTGAGTTGACATCCTCTGTAGACTAGGACAAGTCGTATGATGAGAGGATCCAGACGACTGAACAAACCTTTTGTTCTCCCGCAATGCATCCAAGTCTTTCCAAATAACTTGTCCCGTTGTCCGGTAGATGCCACCAATCAACGGGCATGATCCTCTATTCTTCTGTCCACACTTATGCATCCAAATCTTCATACTAGAGAGTTTGTCCGCTCATGCTTTAGACACTTCCGGTTGACCGGTATGACCTTCTGTCCATTTTTCATGTCCTATTTCTTTTCTTTCTCACATCTTTTTCAACTTCTTTCTTCTTTCCCAAGACATATCACATTTTCAAATTATTGCTACCCACATCTAAAAACTAATACAACAAATCGATGATTAATCACATTAGGATATTTGTTATCATCAAAATCATAGTTAACAAAGCATAGGGTCAACAAATGCATGTACTAATACCACATTTATGTGCCTTATACCCAAAAAGGGAGGTCTCTCAATCTAGACGAAAGGAGGGAGCTTTATATCCTAAGCACCCTATACCCTCCCTCCCTTTTAATGAGTGACAGGAGAAAGAAGTTGGAGGAAGGAGACTCTGAATCTGTCTATTAAACCTAGATTATGAAAAAAGAAACTACTAGAAAAGCTTCTTCTCTATCTGTTAAATTGGTTATTTAGGTTTGTGTAGTCCACTCTTGTAGTTATGTAGTTCGTCCACATAACCTATTATCTACCTTATATAGAACCTCTTTTGTATCTATTGCTTGGATACTCAACACTAACTATTTGTATAACTTTCCCTTTAAAAAACCTCATATAGGCAAACACTATGATGACTCAACTATGAGTAAGGACTTTAGACCAATCAGTTTAGTCTCACACCCTCACAACATTTGCGCTAAGGTTTTATCATCCAAGGAGTTTTTGTTGGAGATCGACAAATATTAGATGTGGTGTTGGTAGCCAATGAGGCGATTGAAGAAAAAATAGGATCTCGTTTCGAACATTAAATTCCAAAAAAACATAGTATTGTGGAGTTGAATTTTTATGATTTTGTGATGGAAAAGAAAGGTTTTGCATTGAGATTGAGGAAATGGATTATAAGGGTTTCAAGATCTATGAATTTTTCGGTGATTGGTAATAGGGTTTCAAGAGACTGTTTTAATGCCCATAGAGGATTTAGGCAAGGCAATCCATTATCATTTTCCCTTTTACATTTATGGTTGATGCTTTGAGTATGTTGGTCAATAGGAGTAGTAATAGATTTTTGGTGAATAGCTTTAGGATTATTGGAAGGAATAGAGTTGACGTGACCAGTTATAATTTGCATGTGTAAAAAGGACCCCAAAAGCATTTGTCATTTATTTTCAATTGTCCTGT